ACATTTCTAACTGCAATGTATTGGTGTTAATAGGTTAATAGTGGAACGGATTAAGTCCCTTTCTGCGTTGTGTTAAGCTAAATTGCAAATGACGTGTGTGACCATGTTCTGTGAAGTCATAGCTGTGTTTTCTTGTGCTGGTCTGTCTCTCTAATTACTCCTGTGCTCCTGCCTGATTTCTGCACAAATACCTTTTGTGCAAATGTGGGCAACTCAAAACAGCAACTCTTTGATCACCTGGACGTATACCAATGACAATATGTTAAGATGAATGCAGACTTTCCAATATGTGCTCCATACTGACTTCAAACGGATGCACACATGATGAATTCCCCGTCCAGACACTAAAGCATGCAGGGAATGAAATGGAAATCCTATCAAATTCAATACGGCATCATCTTGTAGTGTTGCAAAAAACACAGTCAGACATCAAGTCTGCACACACAAGAGACAAATAATACCACCATTCCTTTTCCTCACACACATACATGCACGGGCTCCGCTGCTCCTACACACATGGAAAACACACACATACACACACACACACACACACATGCGCGCACACCTCCCAAATGAATCACCCTCCCAAGTGCTTAGCATCATCAGCATTCCCTGAATCAGCCGTGACTGCAGAGCACAACTGCATGACATGAGAGTCTCAGGGGTCAAATGAAATGCACACTCTAAGTGCCACTTCATCTTCAAGGCATAACAGTGAGCAGCAGCTCAAGAGCAAACTCAAATAACACTGGATTGTGTCAGCCATTGTGCTCCTCTCGCCACTTAATAAGCCTGCATGGTGCTTCATTGTAAACTGTGGTCCTTTCGCACTTTCCTGCAGCCACGCATGACTTCTCCCCAAACGGGCTCTCCTCCAACCTCTACTGTCTGTTTATGTAGACTACCACCAGGGCGGCAAGGAATGCACCTCCAAGACGATCTGCTCGCACACATCTCTAAGGCGAGGAGTCTGCCTCAACCTGCTGATACGAGCTGCTTGTGTTTTACTTTTACACAGGGGTAAATGTTTTGATTAAAAGGCCGTTACTATTTTGCTAGTCACAATGACTTTGTAGTGGATGGGGTTTGCTGCCGTGCTGATGGATGGATGGCCGCTCCCTGCCTCCAGTGAGCGGTTGAATGAGAGAGGAGCTGTCATCGCCCGGCTGCCGACACTGTTGCCTGAAGAGAGAGAGGAAGGCAGGGTGGTGGTGGTGGTGGGGGGGCAGAGAGAGAAAGAGGGAGCAGGAGCTGGATGGAGAGCCAGAGGAAGGACTGTGTTGAAGTGGGAGAAGATATCGGGGAAAAGGAGTGGGGCCTTCGAAAAAAGAGAGGGGGGGAACACGTGTGATGGAAGAGAGGAGGTCAGCGTTGGGTGCAGCTCACCTCACACCCATATCCCAGAAGGCATTGCAGTGAGCGAGTCTGCATTACGTAAAATAGGGGGGGAAAGCAGGTGGTACTGAGAAGCACACAAAGCCTTCTCAACGCAGCCGGTGATCAACAGTCCTGCTGGGCTGTTAGAGTCCACGCTTAAATGCTCCAGTAACCCTGGGGTCCCATGACATGATGAAAAGTTTCACAGCATTCAGTAATGGGGAGACAATTACACTGGCTGTTACGCATTGTGTTGAGCGGCCACGTCAGAAGATGACGGCATTCCATAAATCTTGAGAACAAAAGGAGTTTACGGATGGAGCAGCATCTCTCTGAAGGGATGGAGGAGGAGGAGGAGGAGGGAGGATGAGGAGGAGGGTCGCACGCTCATTAACAGAGATCAGTGGTGATAGTGACATCAGCAGACTTGGTCTTCCAGGCATAAGCTCAGTTTGCTCCTGCAGGGCTTTTACTTACCTCACAAGGATGGCTGCGAGCCAGAAAAACACGAGTCTATGTTCAAACAAGTCTAATTACTAGTATAATTGGATACCTTGATGTTCACACACACTCATTCATTACACGGCCTTGATCTCCTTTGATGCAGGTATCAGAACTTGCAGAGCAGGATGAGCACTGCTAATGAGTTAAACTAACATTTGATGACATACAAATACGAGACTCTACAAAGTGCAATAAGTGCAAAGGTGTGTTGTGAGCTGCTCTGTGGTGGTAATAGTTTTAAAATGGTCTCACAGTGCCTCCCGTTGGGGACTCCTGCAAAGTGCAGAACAAAAATGATGAAATCAATTCAAGGTGAAATCAGAAGGACACTAGGGGGGTAAAAATATGCTTGAGTGTTTTCAACTTTGCTTTTAAGTGAGGATAAAATTTGGTTTGCCTTAATTTGAGCCTAATGGAGTTCTTTCACTCTATTCTTTGTAACCCCAAACAACAGACAAGATGCTAAAACAGAGAAACAGCAGTGCAGTCCTGAAAAAGATTATTTTATCATCTAAAAGACTCATTTTCTCGTCCTTCACGCTTTTCAAAGTAGTGTAACAATCAGATTGGCTACAGTACTTTCTCCGGCTCCAAACCATCCACTGCCTTTTCACCCTCACAGCTGCAAATTCAACGGCCATGAATGTATATGCATTCCTCCTCTATTTCTGTGGTGATTGCAAGAATCTGGCAGAGAAGTCAAATAGTGAAAGGGAATCATCTGTCAGATGAAGGAGCTGTTCATAATTTCTAACAAAGCAAGACACCTGACTTCACTGTCTAGAGTAAGCAGCTGGAGACACCACACTCCTGCACCTCCTATACAAGTTAGCACAGTGCCACTGAGCAGAAGGAATCGCAGCTAACTGGATGAGTCTCAGGCTTTGTCGCACTACATGTCATCAATTGTTCCTTAAGCATCACCAGCACTGGTGTTAAGGGGGATCAGTGTCAACACGGGAGAGGCCAAGAGCATAAACAAAGGAGTGAAAAGGTTGGCTGTCATGGGGTTGCACCCAACACCCTGGAGACACAATCGTTTCACCTCCTCTGTGAGGAGCTGATACATTAAACACCTACAGCGTCCACTTCATACCTCAGTGGTGTGACAGGAGGCCACTTTTAGAGCAAATGGCCTCACACTGAGGCAAGCAGGGGGAGCGGAAGCAGCTTGTACAAGATGAGTTACTCTTTTGTACAGTATTTGATGTTGCACATATTCTTATCAAAAGCATGTGTTCCCACTTTCAGTATTAGTGTTATTTAACATGCCTTTTCTGGAATAAAGTTACTCTAGAAATACATGACCATGTACTGCTTTTTATCTTAGTTTAGCTTGAGCTCACTACATATTAATATGACACAGTGAAAAAGGCCCTCAGGTCACACATATGTGCTAAGTCTACACGCATGCAACACGGGTAACAATAAAGTTTGAAACTTACATCCGTTGCCAGTTCAGGTGAAATCATATACACTATGTTGCATCATATTACCATCACACAACCAAAAGTATTTTTTTCTTAAGCATTTTAAGCCTTTATTCAACAGAGAAGTCGGGAAAGGGGGGAAAGCAGCACTGTAATTCAGTGCAAAATTATTACATTAACAAGAAACAGCCCAAGATGATGTAATTCACTGAGTGTTGTTTAGTGGAAAGGGTGAACATTATTCTGTATGTTAAACGCTAATGAACTGCAGCAGCAGGCGCCGCTTATCTTCAAACAATGCTGCTGCATTTTTGCTCACAGGAGGTCAAAACAATTTGGTGATTTCTTCTTTGAATGTGTGTGGCCTGCAGTTATTTTGACAAATATACAGCTGTTCTGTAGCCTACAAATGAAGCACACAGTTGTAAACAAGAGCACTTAATTGGAACAAGTACGATGGTCATGTTAAATTATTCCCCAGGTGGGGTCCAGCTGGGGACCTACAGAAGGGGGACAATTCCAGTGAAAAACAACATATAGTGTGTCAGTACGGTGTTAGGCTGCAACGTGCCACCAGATCAGCTTCAGTGCTTCTTAGCATTAATTCTCCAGGGCTCTGGAACTCTACTGGAGGGATGAACACCATTCTTATAAAAGATATTCCCTCATTTGGTGTTTTTACGATTGTGATGGAGAGTAATGTTTAACATGTCAGTCAAAAAATCTTCTATTGGTGTTAAGTAGGGATGATTTCTGACAACTGTAAAGGTCATGGCATATAATTCCCAAAGTTTTCATGCTCATCAGGCCATTCTGATCATGTTCTAATTAAGTGGACACAGTCATCCTGAAAGCCATCGATTCCAACAAGACAGAAATGTTTCATCATTGGATAAAGGTGATCAAACCGTGGCAAACTGTGTCAGCACAAAGCCCCACAGAGCATAAGAAAGTCACAGGATTGCCTTACTTTAGAGGTCAAGGGTTTAGGTTTTTCCTTTAACGCTCTCCTCTCATTTCTTGTCAGCGCTCACATTTCAATATAGGCAGAAATATAAAAAAAAACAACCATTGAGAAGGCAGATAGGAACACTGTATTTCATTTTTGAAGCTTGATACTTGTTTTTTTTTCACATCTTTGGTTTGTTTGTTTCTAAAAAAGATATATATATATAAATGACATTTTGACTTGTCATAGCTGGAAAAACACACAATACTAATAAACCTATTTATGTCTCCAAAATACCAGGGCCCTGAAACCAATATATACATTTAACATTTAATTAGATATATTTTTCATTATATTTTATCATTATACTTATGGGTTTCTTTTTTCAGAGGAATACGTCTGATTGCAGAAATGTTGTTCGAAATTTTATATAAATACATTATTATGTACAGTGTCAATCAAATCAAGCGAGATTTGATTGGTTGATAGAAATTTCTAATAGTTCATTTTGCTAAAGAAGCGGCAGTTCATGGTTTTCGTAAAATTCTGCCTTTTATATGCTTACTTCTGGTGAATCGACTGAAAAAAAAGTACAATACTTTAGGATTAAAAAAAAAAAAGAAAAAAAAAAGGAGTTTAGCTGGTCAAATCCACTAGTCTGGTAATTTCAGAGCAGTGAATCGCTCCCCGATGTCACTGATGGATAAATCCCAGGAATAGTAGCGGAGCGCAGATGAGAGCGGAGGGTAGATGAATATGGCTCTCTCCAGAGGTTTGAGATGCTGTCAAAGGGTTTTCTCCTGGATACCTGTTCTTATTATAACCGCCGTTGTGTTGTGGTCATACTACGCTTACGTCTTTGAGCTATGTCTTTGTAAGTACGACAGACTGTGATCGGTTGTTGTGATTTTGACCGTTTCAGCTCAGACATCGCAGATTAGCGCACAGCAGTGTTGACAAAAATAACGATATAGACAGCAGCAGCTAGCAAACTACGCGGAAGTGGCTCAGGGTGTGTGCTTCAATTTGGTTAACGTACAATAAGCTAGTGTTACATGTAGTTTAATGTGTCATTGTCATTAAGATGCCTTCGTTAAGTCTGGTTTCACTCAAAAAACAAGTGTGCTGTTGTTGCTCTTAGCTAACTACAACCCTACCATCTGGCTAGTCGTGTTAGCCGGTAAATGTTGTTTCTCTCATTACACATCAAGCTAGTGTTAGCAGAAACACTGTTGCTATTCTCTGGCACTCAGTTTGTCACTTTAACTAACGTCATGTTCTTTTTTAACAGTTACACTCAGCAATTCATTGGAAAAAGGTGAGTGACCCTCTCATTGCTGTGCTACAAGCAGTGTGAATTGCTAAACTATGCATTTAGTTCATGTGACGGTTGTTTTGTATATTATTGTGACTGGTTTTGTGCTTGCAGTGGCCTATCTGTTGGTGTTTCATGTTTGCTTTGTGATGTTCTCCTGGACCTACTGGAAGTCCATATTTACTCCTCCTGCAACACCTTGCAAAAAGGTAGCCTGAACACTAGGCTGAATATAATGTTATTTATTTACATGTATTGAGTCTGTGGTATGCAAAACAATCTGGTGTGTTTTGTTGCTTTAGTTTCAGCTGTCATATTCAGACAAGCAAAGATATGAGTTTGAGGAGCGGCCAGATGCTCAGAAGCAAATCCTGGTTGAGATTGCAAAGAAACTTCCTATTTTCACTCGAGCTCAATCTGGAGGTAAGTGGTCCAGTTAAATATGCTGTATTATTTATTCATTTTCCACATATCTAAGCCACTGGGATAACAAGGCAACTACATTAGCAACAGCCCGTCATCTCACACATAATCTGTGTTGGGTGAAAGCAAGTAGGTTAGGGCAATTAGCTTTGCGTGCTCTCCTGAGCATCCTCATCCAGAGTAATCAGCCAATGTATTCTCTTTCATTAGTGCTGATTGCTAAGAGTAAGTTCTATCCTGCAGGAAGTATGTGAAGGGTAAGCTCAGCTCAAATGTCGTTCATTCAACTAGCCATCCTCTTGTCTCCAGCTATCAGGTTCTGCGACCGCTGCCAGGTACTGAAGCCTGACCGCTGTCACCACTGCTCGGTTTGTGAAACGTAAGCCACTCTTTCCTCCCCAATCCATTCATCTAGAGAGATCGCCTTAGGCAAGGAGATATTTGTTGGCCAAGGACTGTTGTGATAATTAGCGGATGTTGCTTTGTGGGCATGCCATCTCTTAGAAAGGACATCCTAATGACCAGTCAGTGCAGTGGATTAGCAAAAGAAATTAGCAGATAGATTTCAGAATGCATGTAAAGAATGCTGTAACAACAGTTGGTCTGTAAGGCAAACTGAAATAAGAGTTTGATAATGGAAGAAATTATTGTCATTATTATGGTATTTACTGCCTTTACATTGCTGTCATTCTTTCAAAAATGATGTAGATATAATGTTTTTCCTTTTAAGGTGTGTCTTGAAGATGGACCATCACTGTCCCTGGTAAGTTGTAACTTAACATATGGCTCTATGCTAGAATAGATTGATGTATTCTTTGTGTTCTGACACCAGCATTTCTTCTTCTTTTAGGGTGAACAACTGTGTTGGTTTCTCCAACTACAAGTTCTTCCTTCTGTTCCTCTCCTACTCTATGCTGTACTGCGTATTTATTGCAGCAACCGTCTTTCAGTATTTCCTCAAATTCTGGGTGGTGAGTGTTCTTATTCATGTTTGCCAATCATGTTCATCATTTAATAATGTCGTAATACTGACGGTTTGAGTTACTTAAAGTCAGCACTATTGGATTTCCAAAAGAACAGAGAACTGAACTGTCTGTCATAGGTTAGGGCTTAAAGCCCCCTTTTTTCTCAGGTTTCTAGTTCTAATGTTTCTCTCTCTCTCTCTCAGGGGGATTTGCCAAATGGGCCCGCAAAGTTCCATGTCCTCTTCCTCATGTTTGTGGCGCTCATGTTCTTTGTCAGTCTCATGTTCCTCTTTGGCTATCATTGCTGGTTGGTGGCCAAGAACAGATCCACTTTAGGTGAGAGTTCACATATTTACTGAGAAATTGTCTGGAGATTCCTGTTATGAATCTGCTCTCCCTTATTTCATAAATAGAGGATGTGTTTGGACCTTCTTAGATTTATGAATTTAGGTTGGTTGTAAGATCATGTGTGAAGAATTTTAAGCATGAAAATATATTCTGACCTTTTCTAGAGGCCTTCTCAGCTCCAGTGTTTGTCAGTGGACCCGACAGAAACGGCTTCAATGTCGGCATACGCAAAAACCTGCAGCAGGTATTTGGGGAGGAGAGAAGACTGTGGTTCATTCCAGTATTTACAAGGTGAGTTTGCTGTTGAGATACAGCGGGTTTGTAACTGATGGCATTGTGCACCTCTGCACATATGTCTTTGTGCTACAAAATCAGTTTTGTGTTTTGCAATAAACACAGAATTGAAATATAAAACCAGGGCTGCCCATGTACAAGAGCTGAAAGTCCCGACACAGCTGGATTGAGTCCGACCCATGGCGGATTTGCTGCATGTCCTTCCCCCACTCTTCTCCCTTTCTACTTTACATGTCTCTCTTCACTCACGTCTGGAATAAAGGCATAAAAAGGCCAAAAAAAAATAACATTCAAAATACAAAAGAAGAGAACAATAACATACAGCGTTTCGTAATGAAAATAGTAAACTGACTGATCAAAATATAAGCGACGTTGATGAGATTCACAGTGTGATGTTGACTGACTGCAGAATGGCTTTACATGTAGAACTAATGGAGCCATCTAACAAAATGTTGAGTAGGGGATGGAATCAGTGTCTTGAACTTAGTAGTTGGATCTTTAACTAGCTTCTATCTCCTTTTGCACTTTGCACGTGTCAGCCAAGGGAACGGCCACTACTTCCCTTTGAAGAATCGGAGTTCTGAATCCCGGAATCCCTTATTAGCTAATGAGGACATGTGGGATGAGTCAGATGATGGGTCTGAAGAAGGGAGCTTGGGTGAGTTTACTTAAGTTTTGCCACATTTATACATACAAACACTCTCATTTTGAATTACAAATATATTTCATATTCAAGTAAAATAAATGGTCTTAGTAAATATAACCGTTGTAGTGTTTCACTGCAGTACAGAGCACATCATATTCACCACAGTCTTCTGTAGGTGAGACTGGTGGCACAAGTACAAACTTTTTTCTTTCAGATTTATTGGCTCTTGTGGTTTCCAAAAAACATCTTTAGAGATGAATTGTGTGTAGCTCTTTCCCAAAAGCCTTTTATATGAGTAACTACTGTTTTGTTTTTTTGAGGGGGTAATTTTCATCTCTTGAATTACTTCTACTGCTATTATTTGTGAAGAAGCTAGAAACTTAAATAAAGATTGTACCAGAGACAATGAACGCAGTTATCTACTGACTGTAGCTGTTCTTTTATAGCGAATGTCTGCCCAAAGTTTGCAAAAACAGTATCAATGAATGTCTTTATCTGATTGCCTGTTTTTAAATTGCATTCCTCTACAAGTCACGTCTTTATTGGTTGAGATTAATTCAGATTTAATTGCTTGATTTAAAGCCTTTGTAAGCAAAAAAAAAATTCTCCAAGCATCAGTTGCTGCTGCTTTCACCAATTTTATGGTAAAATAATTTGCTAACACGGGTCTGAAAATGCTTCATTACATGTGACTTACCTGGATCCATTGAAAGATGCAAAACTTTCCATTGTTCAGTTTTGGAAGCTTTACGTGTAAACATAAAAAACAATATCTTGTAGAAAGTGAACTACCACTACACAACAAGCTCTTCCGCAGGAGGACACACTTTGCAACCTTGGCTTTAAAAAGGTCAATGGGATGTGACCGTGCACTGTCTTTGTTACACATAATCACGCCAAACTGCAGATTTGTACAGTTTTTGTTAAATTTCAATGATCTGTAGGCATCAGTCTCCCCCTGTGCGACTGCTGTTGCTGCGGTTGGACTCCAACCATAATATTCTACTACCACCTGGTGGTCGTATGAAACACGCTGTTAATTATGAGCTACATCTGTTGCAATGAAACCACTGAAAAAAAATGATGCATTTGTAAGCTGATATGTTGTTTCTTTTACTCCAGTTGAGGACCAAGACCCCTCTGTTACCATAGAGATGGAGGAATAATTTACACTGGTACAAAGGATGATGAAGACTTGTATCTCAGACACACACACACACATACACACACTGTGTACCACGAGGTAAATGCATTCCAAATCATGTGGATGTTCGGACACACTGAAGAGGGCCAAATGGGTGGATTGAAACCTGCATTTGGACTGTCATTGCCAATTTTACCCTGGTGTTTTACATAATGATGAAAACAGGAACTCATTGGATGACCGGTGGCAGCATCATCTCTCCTCTCACAGATGGATAAACAACAGCATCAGTTTTATTTGGAAAAAAAAACAAAAAAAAACACAACACATTGTCAAATATTACCTCACATATAAAAAGCTACTGTTATTTACTGTGGGTCATATATTTGCCTCTAGCTGTTGATCACGGTGAAGGCACTGGCCTTTGTGGGATTATTACTAATGTTGCTTTTGGGAGGCTTCTGTCTGGCACTGTGCTATTTTATATGCCTCTGTTTCAGAGTTGGGTTGAGTTTACAGTGTTGCACCTTAGAGCTTGATCTGTACAGAGTCGTATCTAAAGGCTCCAAAGGTCTCTTGTAGTTTTCAAGAGTTTGTAGATTAAATTGTTTAGTGATACAGGTGTCTGGCCTCTACCAGTTTGGATTTTTGCAGCTTATAAACACAAGATTTTGAACATAAGAACACCTAACTTGACCTGCGCCTTATTATTATAAATATTCCTTTGTTTTGGGAGTCAGTTTTCTCCTAAGAATGTATCCTTCTGCTCATCATTCTGCTTGTGAGTACACTGTGCCAATATTTTGGGCACTTATTTATGAAAGAACCTATCATGTTACGCTTTTATAGAGTATTTTAGCATCCCTGTAGCAGTTGGAATGCCACTACTAATGTCTGATCAGACTGGTAACAGTAACAGACAAAAGTAGCATTCACAAATACAGCTTATTATATTTAACATCTGAGATTATGGCAAATTTAATGAAATGTTTATTATTTTCAGTGGACTCATATCCTGAATATACTGTATATCATGACTGTTGGCTATATTGCTATTTTGAAAAAATGCAGTGATGAGTTTGATGTTTAAGTCTGGGGTGAGCGTATGAGACATACTGTGATAAGACATTTTTAAAATAATTATCACGATCTTGTTTTCTATATCAGCTATCCCTCCTAAGACAACACTTAAGTGTGGATGCAGGGTAATAAAGAACAGCTTTCGTCATAGGCCGAAAATCATGCATAGGGGAGGACATAGGTTCTTCTATGTCTCTTTCCATTTTTGATCTTTTTAGACATCCAGATGACTGTACATATATATAAAACGACTGATCCTCATCCACCGGTTGGTAGAGGACAGTGGTCTTCGGCAATATGATGTTCTGATATTTTTTTTTTGTACCTGTGTTTATGCATTTTTAAATTTATAATACTAATGTAATGGATTATCCTTATCGAGACTGTTTATTGACTTGTGTAATTAGCCAGTGTACTTAGTTGAAACCTAATTCTCTTGTTGAGTACACCCATTAATAGTACGAGTAAAAAGTTGGGCCTTTGTCAAACATTGATGCTGTTTGATCTTGACACTTTAACTTGCTTCATGGGATCTGTTTTTCTATGTTGGGTTAGCCAAATCGAATGCTGCTCATGTCTGAGAGATACTTCTGTTCATTTATTGATTCAATCTGTACGTTTTATCTGAGATATGATTTGGTGTTTGAAAGCATGTATACAAACATTAGGAAAGATGTGGGTGTTGATTGTTTCATGTAGTCTTGTGTCTATTTATTGTTCTATTGTCCAGCTTTTTTCCTGTGTATTGAGTTTGGTTCATACCTGCTGCAGGCAGTGTCTGTATATTTTGCTCCATAAAGTGACACTTAAGAAACTATCGAAGCAATGTGCTTTTATCAAATAGTAGGATATTTATAGCATGAGAAGATGACAAATTACACCCGGTTGGCAGACAGGAGTTCAATATTGCTAGAGCACATATGGTCCCTTTTGAACTGTATTTGGAGTATGTGATTGTGGTGCTTCCCTTTTTCATAACCTCAGAACTACCAAAAATACTGATACAATTTCTTTTGCTGTTCCGTCTGTAAACAAATATAAATTCTTTATTGATCCATCAGTTGTTGTAACATGCAAAATAAAACGATCCAAGTTAAAACTCTTCATATGATTCAGTGTCGTTTTCTGTCTATAGCACGAGTATACACAGCAACAAAACAATAAATACAGTGATTAGATTAATAATTTTGTATCAGTTTAGGAAACTTAGGTAGCAGTATTTGGCACAACAAGGAGAACATGAGATACAAGACAAGAAAGTATACCAAAAATATACCCAAAACAATTTGCCGATCATGTTCCTCAGGTTGTCCTCCGTTCAGTCGGTGCCAAAATACCTCTGTCCAAAATGTGTTGGAGCCACTGGGTGAACCTCTGTGGTCAGGATGGTTATATCTGGGAACTCCTGGATTATAGATTTGGCTCCTAGAAGAGAGAGGGACAGATTGGGTTAGGTTTTAAAACAATGAAAGCATACTAATTTATCACTGTGGTGATTACAAATGAGTAAAAGTAGCTCTCGCAGCTTGAGAAACGAGCAGCCAAAATCTGATCATTTTCTGAGGCTGCAAACGCTGAATTCCCACTAAAATCAGCTGCACTGTGGTGAAAATAGCTGCATAAATCTGACACAGGCGCCTCTGGCTTCAGAAACTAGTTGTGAACACAACACTGACAACCTTTTAAGTTGATAAGGAAAACTTATTGGCGAGCAGCAGCTTATTTACACATTCAGCATTTATTTGGAGTTGGTTCAACTGTTGACTCTATTTTAGCTCTGTTTTCTGCCTCTACCAACCCCTGAGGGAAATATCTACCTCTTTATGCTCCACTGTGTTCACCAGCTAGTCTCTAGTTGCTACTTAATCTGTCTGTTGTTTTGTGCCGAGCAAGTAGAGTACAGTGGGGTTTAAGTGCTTTTTTGTTGTTGTTGAAAGCCGCTGTCTTCTGTGACTCAAAGTGTTATAGGAGCAGCAAGAGTGAACCAAAACAGCAGAATTGTGGACTGCACAGCTAAACAAAGAGCTCAGCCTCACTATAAAGCTCCGTAAAACAGAAGGGGGAGTTGCAGATTCATGTGACAATTCCCTGTGGGTTTATTACGACTGGCAACTCCGTTTACACTGTCACTTTTTCACATTTTAATTAGATGCAAGGTTAATGTGAAAACACTGACTGTAGCTTTTTTATATATGTAAGGAAACACTGGTAATGAACAGCTGGCTGTTTCAAGTCTTGCTGACATTATAGCCTTCACTGCAGTGTAAGTTATCACTGGTAGGCAATAAGCTGTATACACTGCCACTTTGCATAAATAAACAGAAATGGACTTTAAAGGCTTCACCCACTGCAGAGAATTAAAAGACTGGGTACATTTTATGGCAAGCTTTTCAGATTGAAATATTTCTTGTGTTTAAGTGGAAGAAATGTCCAGTGGGTTGAAATTATTAGAAATCCTTCTCTGTGAAGCCACGAATATCCGCAATAAATGTCACCGCAATCTGTCCAGTAGTTAATGAAGAGAAAACTATTACAGAAATTACCCAATAGCTTCTAAAATTACTTTGAAATCCTTAAATTGGGACTTTTCTGGGACAAGCCTATTTTCTAAAACCATTGTTGGTTGAACTGATGAGCAAGACATCAGATCAGCAGCGAGTGTGAACAGCTGCTGTGCTCATCAGACACAAGACAATGACACAACAAAAGTAAAGTACAGTTGCACTAAGCTGGGTGGTATACCATGAGGCGTGGAGAAGAGGCTGAGTAGGATAATATGTCTGGGCTGGACTCCGTGCTCTATCAGCACTCTCACCGCCTCAATCACAGTGTTCCCTGTACCTGCAGACACAGAAAACTTAAGGTTAGATGTTCGATTCGCATTCCTCTACGTACAATGTCACCTCGTTTACAAAAAATAAAAACTGTGTTACTTGAAAACTTGCTGAATCGTGTTTACGACAGATCAATTATAAAACAATTCTATCACATAATTGCATTTTTAAAAATGTATATATATATATGACTGATTACGGTAGCATCTCAAAAAGGCACGCCGCTACATGCTGATTGATCTGCCCATGAGTCTGGGCACTTGGCAGGCTTTAATTTCTCACCCTGTTAGCATGCATCAATTAAACCATGTGCTCCATCATTCTGACAATAAAATATACCTTCAGCCTACAGTAGCTTGGTCACCATCGCATATTTTCAAAAACTGAGAACAGAAAAATGCTGCTTTGTGACATTGGAAAACCAGGGCTATTAAGATACTATTTTTGTTGGCCCTCATTATGCTATTCAGCAGCATGGTGGCTATCTCCCAGGCACTGTATAATTTCCCCCATGAGAGCTATAATTATCAGAGCAGTGTGAATGGGCCTGTATGATGTGGAAATGCAGACTTGGTGGTGAAGGTCAACTCAAGGGAGATTTTTCAAAATGAATAAATACATAAAACTGTTTTTACATTTGCACAAAATTGGACATCTCTTGACATTTACGTGCGACTGAGGGTGGGGATAAAAAAGTGCAGTCATCAGTAAGACAAACCGTTCTCAGCCCTCTGTTACTTACTGAGAATTGGGTACATGAGCAGCACTTTTCTTCTGTACACATCTGGGGGGAACTTGGCATAGTACACCTTGGCTTTCTGTGTCTCCTCATCGCTCTGGATGAGGATCTTACCGATGCGGATGGAGCGGCAGCAGTCCCGGAGACCCTGCTCCATGGCCTCACCTGTGGGAAAACACACAGAACACAACAGGGGTTGAATGGTGGTCTGTTTCAATAAATTTGCAGTTTGTGTGTAGAAATACACTCCTGATAAACCCATGTGCCAAATCTACTATTTTTGACATTGCCCCATCAAGTAGACAGAATTAGCAACATTCATGATTATCATGTGAGTACAATAAATTCTGTAGGTCTGTGAACACAAAGTAAACTGTGTGTGCAAAGGACCACGCAGCGATGCACTCTACAGATATGCAGTATGGCTGGGTGACAAGTGTTTTAAAAAAAAGTATTAGCTAGTAAAAGTATTTTTTTAATATACATACTGTATATACTTTACACTGCTTTAAATCAAAATCCCAACAGTGCTGTATTAATTCTCCACCACCTGTACTAAAGTGAGAACTACCTGCAGTCCCACAGAACAAATTTGTCCATATTGTGCAGCATTGCTTTATTTTACACCCATAGAATGGATCTCCATACAGACAGGAGACAGTGTAAAAGTTACAGTAGCCTAGATGTGCGGATCTTTACAGGGCTGCATCTCGACACGTTGAGCGACAACCCAAGGGATGTGTGTCAAGATGTGACCGCTGTGTGGAAAGCAATGGGAGCATTTGTTTTGACTTGCATCATGCTCTGCTGATGTGTGCTGCCTTTAAGATGTAGCATTTGAATAATACTGCGCGTCTGACAGGCCTACATTTTTTCGTTTTTCTGACCTAGCATTACTGTCATAAAATGATAATACAGATATGCGTAAGACTATGATAATAGTCTCATTAATCTGAAAGGATAGAAAACGAGTGAGTGTCACTTCTAGTTGTGTTTTCTGCTTAAGGCATCGCAGTCAGCAGAAAACTGCGACGATGCTCTGTAAAAGTACAGAGATGTGTCTGTCTCAAACATCCCACATAACCCAATTCTACTGCATAATTTAGTATTCAAATAATCAACTGGTTTCACAGAGTAAAGATCTGACTGCCTATAAAAAGAAAATTTGATCCAGTGTACATGACAGCTTGACCTGCTGAATAAGAGCAGAACAGAATGTGCAGCATTAGTACAGCTGGCAAGTCACATAGGCATAGAGGACTCATTACATGCCCTTACAAAAGAGAGACTCTAATTTGAAAACTGTGCTACAGCAGGTTTAACGTACCGCTCCTCATAATGCTGACTCCACAGTTGCCTCTTTCAAACTTGACACCTTCATACTTGTACCCTGAGGGGAAAAAAAGAAGCAGGAACAGTCACAAATGCAGGTCTTCTGAATAAGCCCACTGAGTCATATCTTACGCTGAAGGTAAATTGCTGAAGGACGGAAACCGTGCAATGTATCTATGCATTTAAATGAGTCAGAGCTCAGTCTTTTTCTAACCTTGTTCTTTAAATCTTAACATTGACTTTGTAATTGGAGAGAAATCCTCACCTGTTGGTGTCGTAACAGTGCACTCTGAGTAGGGGAGCTGATTTAAGCCCTCCTCGACTACTAGTCTGATCTGTTGTTGAACACAAAACAAAGTGGTACGTATTATATAAATGTACGTACACACACTTACAGCATGCAGTAATTAGGTCATGATCTTACCAGTCGATCTGCACAAAACACAAAGTCTCCTCTGCTGGTTGTCCTGTAAATATAAACATGAGCCTGATTAGATTCGTCGGTATAATTGGTTGATACTCAGCGATCACATTTGTCTTTCTGCTTAAAACCTTCACTTTAACCTTTTTGCGTGGAACAAATTGGGGAGCTTCTAACTATTTAAAACCTCTTAACTATTAGAGGACATATTAATTTCCAACCATAGTGTTCTTAGAGGTTTATAAAATTACATAATTAAAAGAATATTTTGACAATGGCGAAGTAACTTGCATTTAACCCACTGAAAGTAAAAAAAAACAAAAACCTTGTTGTTTCCTCTATTGCCACCATATTCACATTATTGAATATATTTTTCTAAAATGAATCTGTGAAAAGCTGAATTGTGAGCTCTTGGGTTGCTACTTTTCTTTCATATATTATTTGTTCATTCATTCATGTTGATCTATTTTTGTTTCAAGGGTAACTACTTCAGGGACTTTAAACGAACTCACTATGTTTACATGCAGAAGACAAGGCTTGAGGTCCAGCTGAGCAGACTCGTTTTCATAGAAGGTTCGTAACTACTACAGGACATGTTCACACACTAATATTCATTTGCTTGTGTCAATTTTAAATGCGTGTGCATTTTGCCTGCAAAATTGTGTAATCGGTGTTATTGTTGAAAGAAGCCCTATTTAACGTTTCAACAGCCAGTGTCCTATGATGTTGAGAGATATTATTTTCAGAACTTGTTGGACTGTTGAGTGGAATAAACAAT